TTTTATTTTTAAAATATAAATTTTAAATAAACATTTGATAATATATTATCAAATTGAAATTCATATTAGGTAATTAAATTATGGAGGACCGTTGTTGAATAGATCATCGTGTAGACGATGATGGTTTTGTTACTGATGAATTTAAAGAGAGGGTGCAATTTTTTGTAAGATTTGCATTCTCTAGACCCAAAGCAAAATCAGAGATCAAGTGTGAAATGCAAATGTAGGAAATGGGGGAACCCTGAGGTTATCTTCGTGCATTTGTGTAAGCATGGGTTTGTGAACAACTATTATACATGGTATGTTCATGGAGAGACATCCAACAATCTAGCAAGAAACTTTGGAGGGGAATCTTCTAACACAGAGTTTGTTAGAAATGAGGCAGCTGCAATGTACCGTGAAATGGTAGTATGCAATGGGTCCACAACCTGAATACAATGAAGGGCCAATGGATGAAGGAGCCAAATGGTAAAGTAAGAGAATTTTATGATCTTTTGCATGCTGTAGAAGTTTCTATAGGTGTTGGGGGAGAGAATGTCATAGTACTTTCATGGATGGCAGAAATGCTAAACATGAAGACTCTTTATAATATGAGTGTTGCTAATTGGGAGACAGCACTATCATTGAGTCTCAAGTTATTGAGTCCAGAGGACTAAGAAAAGGTCCCAAAGGATTTCTACAGTGCAAAAAAATGATAAATGTGCTTAGACTTGGATACAAGAAAATTGATATTTGCGTCAATGATTGCTTTTTCTACTATGATGAGCAAAGCAAGAATTTAACTACTTGTCCAGTGTGTGGAGAATCCCGTTATGAGCCAAGGAAATAGCTGCTGTGAGGTAGAAAGATGTTCCGCGGAAGACTTTGTGGTATCTTCCACTTACCCCAAGTTACAGCAATTATACATATTTAGGAAAATAGCAGAGCACATGACATGGCATTTATTGGTTGCTCTGCAGCACCTTACTCTTGTTGGCATGTCTTTCTTATTGTATACAACCTTCCTCTTGAATTGTGCATAAAGTTAGACCATATTTTCCTTGCCTTGATAATTGTTGGACCTAAAAGTCCAGGGAAAAATATTGATGTCATGCTGAGGCCATTAATTGATGAACTTAAGGAATTGTGGACAAATGGGGTTAAAACTTATGATAGTTTTAGACAACAGAATTTTATCATGAAAGCTACACTCTTATGGACTATAAGTGATTTTTCAGGTTGTGCCATGTTATTTGGATGGAGCACACATGGGAGGTTGTCATACCCCTATTGCATGGAGAACACAAAGGCTTTTCAACTTCAATAAAGGAGGAAAACATCATTTTTTTATTGTCATCGTCAATTTCTACCTCCTAAACATCCATTTCGTAAAGATAAGAAAATTTCTATGTAAATAGAGTGGAAAAAACCCCTCCCCCTAGCCTAGATGGCAGTTTGATGGAGGAGAAGGTTAATCAGCTCCCGGACATAGTCTTTGGCCAGCCACTTCGTAAACAATCAATTCTAGGATTTGGTGTTTTCCATAATTGGGTGAAACGTAGCATATTCTAGGAACTACCATATTGGAAGGATTTATTGATTCGTCATAACCTCGATGTTATGCATTGTGAGAAGAATTGTTTTGATAACATTACAAATATTGTCATGGATGACAAAGAGTGTACAAAGGATAACACAAATGATAGAATGGATCTACAACTGTATTGCCATCGATCTGAATTGGAATTGATACCTCAAGATGATGGAACAACTATAAAACCTAATGCTACATATGATCTTACTCGAGAGCAACGAGCTTTTGTCTGTTAGTGGCTAAAGGAATTGAGATTCTCCAATGGGTATGCATCCAACATAGCACGATGTGTTAACATGCATGATCTTTGATTGTCTAGGATGAAAAGCCATGATTGTCATGTATTCAAGCCATGATTGTCATGTATTCATGCAATGTCTCTTGCCAATTGCTTTTTGTGATCTCTTTATAGACGAAGTTTGGGGTCCTCTGACTGAGATTAGTAACTTTTTTAGAGCTTTATCTACTCTGGTTATTCGAGTCAGTAACCTGGAGATGTGGGAGGAAAAAATTGTTGAGACTAGTTGCGAGTTAAAGAAAGTATTACCTCCAACCTTCTTTGATTCGATGGAACATTTGGCAATCCATTTACCATATGAGGCAAAAGTTGGAGGACTTGTCCAATTTTGTTGGATGTACCTTTTTGAAAGGTATATTTCTTCTAATATATTTGCACCACAATAACATTGTTGAGCATGATCAATAATATAATCTTATTGATTTTCTTATTTGTTTAACAGAAAAATGCATGACCTTAAGAAGAAAGTGTTGAATAAAAATTGTGTTGAAGTTTCAATCTACGAGTCTAACATTCTTTCATAAATTACTTTCTTTTGCTCACATTATTTAGGGTTTGATATAAAGACAAGATTAAATCACCATCCTAGAAATATTGTCAGTGGGAATGATGATAATGATGGTTGTTTGTCTATCTTTAAAAACCGAGGTCAACCTCTAGGTGGAGAAATGCATAGATGTACATTGTCACCCAAAGAATTAAGGGCAGCAAAACTTTATGTTTTGCTTAATTGTGAAGAAGTTGAGCCATGAATTGCGTATATTCTACTACTAACTTTCATTTTGAAGGTTAATAGTATTTATAGATTATTTGCTCTAACTTCTTGATATAGGCTCTTTGACTATCAAGTTTGTTCTGGTTTACCAATAGATCAAATTCAAATGAAATGCCAACTTAAGTTTATTCCTTGGTTTAAGACAACAGTTAGTTATTCATTATAATAATTTATATCATTAAGGCTTCATATTTTATTTTATTTAATATTCAATATTTTATAATAAATGTA